AGTATGCTCCCGACACACAAGTTGTCTGGCCGCTCCAGTTGTTTCCACCGCATTGACCCCAGAGAGACTGTTGTGCTTGTGCGCCCGTGGCCGCACCGACGACGGCGAGAAGAACGGGAGACCTCATCTTGGGCAGGGAAAGTTGTCAAGCTGGTTACTCTCAAGCCGTGCTGACTGAGCGAGGTGTAGGTATCAAGACCGTGAAGACATCTCCAGCCCGGGTGCAGGCCGGTGTTTATATGTCCCCGAATCTGAGTCCCGGGATCAGTTTGATGACCGAGAACTGCCATCACGAAAACGAAGAGCCATGTGCATGTCCCCCCTTCCATGTCATCCACACACCGCACACTCTTGGTTCGGTCATCGCCACGTGGATTGGCCTGTCAATATCTCGTGGCGCTGCTTATTCTGGCTCGTCAACAAGCATTCTTACCATTCCTGGAGAGCTAGTCGACCCTTTTCGTCAAGGGCTGAGCATCTTGCCCGGCGCGTCGGCGGCCGTTAACGCCTTCAGCTCTAGCCCTACAACCTTGCCGTAGCTTCCGACATGTTTAGCCTGAAGAACGGTCGAACGGTTCCCATATCTAGCAGCTCAGAACGACTTGGTTCCTGGTTCTAGAGGCTCAAAACCGGGCGCTCATGATGGACTAGCCACCTGAATGGAACTTCAATAAACAAAAAGGTGGTATGGGGGATGTGCCAACCCCGGTATAATTGGTGGAAAATTAGGGATAATGCCGCCAATAAACGGTTGTTAACCAATTGCTGGGAGGGCTTGGTACTTAGTTACAGTTCAGAGGCTTGGAAGTTTCCAGTCCTGTTACCTTGCATCCACAAGAGAGTTCCGAGAGCCGTAGAAGCTTAGGAATCTTCCATAAGACTTGGCATGTTGAAGGTCACCAAGACTTCCCCGCATGGGTTTCTTGTCAGGTAGGACCCGCCCAAGATATTGGGCGGGCAAAGGCGGCGGGACTGGTTCCGAGTTGGCGTTTAGCGGATCAAAGACGGGCTGGCTGCCTACACTACGGCTAGCACTTGTCATAGGACTTAGCGGTGCACGAAAATCTTGGAAGTAAAAGAAACTGAAATAAACTGTGCTTGGCTTGCGAAGGTTGATATATGTCGTTCTGGAATCGCCATGTACAAAGTTGATTAGATATCAGCCTCATGGCAACACAGTGACGCCAGGCAATATGGCTTATATGAGCCGCAAATTGTGGTCACCTTGGCGAGGGATCAAGACCGGGTAACGGGGGCCTGAAAGATGTGTGCGACCAGGTTGGAGCTACCACAACTACATGAGGAAAGCTGCTCATAAAAGCCATACATCACATTGTACAGAGTATCAGACACGGATATTGAGAGTGGAACAACGATCGATTGGCTAAAAGGAAACAAAGCGTACCCCATAGGCCTAGATGGCAATTGCAAAAACAGCTGGGTACGTTGAGCTGTCGCTTCTTGCTTCCGAGTTCCGACGCTCTTGCCCCGGATCTCACTTGTACCAGCCTCAGGCTCCTCTCCATAAAAAAACAAAAACCAGCATGTGATCAAAGTCAGGGGGTTCAGGTTTGGTTGGGCGCCATGACTGGAAGCTAACTCGGAGGCTTGTCCAGTATATCCGTTTCCGTATTAGGCAATCGGAGGTCAAGTCACCCAGCCAAGGCGAGTCGATTGCTACTGTCAAGGTCAACGTAACGGTGATGTTTTTGATCTCCGGCTAAATGTTTGCTCCAACTCTGGTAACCTCAAAGGCGACTCACAAGTTGTTGAAAAACACGTGAGAGTGCTTCAAAGGGAAAAAGGGACAAGATTTACCAAATAATGGGTAATTAGGCGTGAGATCAAAGGTGTCGAGCATGCCAGAGCAGAGGAAAGTAGACAGCGGTCTGAGAAGTTATGTCATTACTTCACGGACGAGCACCGTGATTCGATTATTGGGTTAAGTTTAAATGTCGGTCATCTGGCAACTATAGGTGGGTCCGTCTCGTTGACTCAGCAATCCTTGTTAAGAAATATTGCAATACCTTACTGCTGATGGAGAGGACTCAAGATCGGGTCAGAGTCAGAACGTGAGCTATAATCATGACAGGATGAAGACAAGCTGACCGTTTCTCACTTCGTTCTACCCGTAATGTATGTTGTATCTACGGCCTGGATACAAGGGACAGCTTGAGGGCGGCCGGGTGTAAGGAAGCGGTCAAGATATCCTTGTAAGGGTGTTTTTATTGCTATGGAAAGATCGAAATAAAGCAAAAGGGATTGATCCCTGTAACAGAAGCTCTAGATATCAAATAACGAATCAAAGATGGATAAACGAATGTATAGAAAAAAAAAAAACCACCAACTAAACTTCGTATGCGTCACTGCCAGTCCTTCCAGTCCTTCCAGTCCCCCCAGCCACACACACACCTTAGGGCCCTTGCCCCTTTCCACAGTCCACATGACTAGAAATCCCCACGGCCAACTTCCCACCTTTGTCTCAAAGTCCCAGCCACAAGCTCACCGCTTAGCAGGTGTATATACCACATCCATGCCAAGCAAACGCCATCACTTAACAGACGCGTTGGCTTTGGTTGCGAATATCAAAAATGATCTGCTGGTTGCTCAACAAGCCCGAAGGTCCATTCGTCGGCTGCAGCTGCAGCTCGCCCTGAGGTCCGAAGGTAATATTTCGGTTGTTTGCATCCGGTCGGTTGAGAGTATAAACGATTCTGTCTTCCAGGACATATATCCCATTCCTCGGACCGGGAAATCTTCCGTCCGGGCTGGTCTCGCTCACAGTGCTGAGAGACGGGGAGATGGCGTAGTTGCGCCCCGTGTAAGTGGCCGTCACACCCGCTGGGACGTTGACCAGACCGCTGGCGCGGCCGATGAATGTCCCACTGGTGCAGATGCCCTGCGGGAAGCTCACGATTACCGAGACGTGGCATGTGGAGGCTGGGCGGGTGGGCAGGGTGACGAAGTAGTTGGGCAGGAGGACGGTGGCGACCTCGTTATCCTCAGAGTAGGTTACAGAGGCGCCGTCACAGCCGCCAAACCGGCTGTCGGCGGTACTGAAGCCGGTGGTGTTGAACTTAGCACGGGGGAGGGCTGGCTGGCGAGCTGAGACAGATGCGTCCACAGGGGTGGCGAGGACGCCAGTGATGGGAAGAAGGAGAGCGGTGAGTTGGAACTTCATTTTGGAGTTTTGGACTTGAGTTTTGTTGCTGAAGGTGTTGATAAGAACTGGAGGGCAGGCTCTTTGATGCTATGGGGGATGATATGAAGATGAAACTGATGGCGATGAGGACTAAATTTACATGGAAAGAAGCAGACTATCATGCCGATATTTATACTCGAGAGTTTCGAAATAGGGATACATATTTCATTGTTTCTCACATGTATCCCGGCGATATCCGTTGTGGTGGATGGCCGGCGATATCCATCTCGAGCTTCACGTTGGTTCTCGTGATGATGCTTCGGACTCTCGATTTCCTGTTCGAGATGGAGATCGTGCCTCGTGTCTTGGACGACCTCGCGGTAGGGCTGAATAGCATTGACGGATGTCATGGAGTAAGGCTTGATGTAAGTCTTAGGACCGTCTAGGGTCGCATTCGAAGAGGCAGAGCTCACCAGCAACCAGGCTCCTGGGACCGGTAACCATCCGATTGCTCCATGTCAAAGAACCTTGCAGGTCAGGTGCCTATTGCATCATCTCATGCTCGGATTTATAGAAGCATGCGCCATCTTGTTGTTCTGCTCTGCCCGGGCGTAGGCTTTGGGCCAAGAGAGCTGTCGTCAGCTTGAGTGTCTGGTTCCAGGTCATCCATATTCTGACCACAATCATCAAGAGGGTCATCGAGACCGCTGTCATTGACCTGTCGTCTACGGTAAGGCAGAGTAAATTCCAGTGGCTAATGTGTAGCCCAGAACCGTGAGTGGCTTTCCATTGTCCTGCCACGAGTTCATGCGACGGTAAGACTAGGATATGACCCGTGGGATGAAACCGAGACGACGATATTGGCAGTTGTGGGCTTGCGGCTCATCTCTGGCTGCTCTTTCATATGGGATGTAGCTTGGGATATCCTATACTGCCGGGGTAACGGAGACGGTGAGCTGTACATCAACTTGAGTCCGCCACCCGAGTAGGCATAAGCCAGACACTAACAGTTCCCGTCATGCCATATGAACAGTCTGCTTCTTGAACGCAAACCAACCACCACTTAGCCCAGGCTCAGTCTTGGATCCTCTGGACCTGACATCTGTATATGACCGAGATATCACCATACCATATTCGTCAGCTATCGAACCTACAACGGGTTTCAACTCTCATTTCGTCCAGTTTTCCCACACTCCCTTACGTATAACAAAGCAGTAAGCGGCTCTGACGGTTTTGTGTAACGATGGGGGTGAAAGCGTCTGTATTTGGTAGCTGGGTGATATAACATGCCCGCGTGAACCGACGAACCGTGGGTCCCCGTCAGCTTTGGGCTCATCCAGACTGGTGACCAACTCTCGGCCCTAAGAAAAGGGGTTGCATTGGTGGCTATCGATGACTTTGGTTCCAGTGTTTGAGCTTGTTCTGACAGCGCCGAGTCCGAACGCCCCACGCTCATGTGATATGCAAAATAATGCTTGATCTGACACAGCTCCTGAGACGATTCCCTCTACCGTACAAATGCGTATCGCGCAATGACGATGCGTCACGATCGTGTGCATGCTGCCTCAATCTCCCATCAGGTTCAGCAGAAACTACAAGTACGGCCTAATGTGGTCATAAGCTTCTGAACAAGACCACGTCTTATTTTGACTTTGCAGCTACTGGAACTTGAAATGCATGGCACGCCATCGTTGACCAAAAGATGATGATTCTCAGGAAAAGGCGCAAACCAAGTCACCAAACGGCGCCCCTTTTCCATTCTCTCCACCCGCCGAGAATTATCCCTGACTCAGCACTTATAGGCATGCGGTAAAACCTCGGAGTTCCAACAAATCAGAAGGCAGTATTAATCTGCAAAGCCCTTATAGCTCAGTGGTAGAGCGCGTCACTCGTATCCCATCTCCGACGATATCCTTTCAGGTTAAAGTGCGAGGTATAACTGCGATATGACGAGGTCGGCGGTTCAATCCCGCCTGGGGGCACTGGGTAATATCTCTTAACATATTATACAATACGGTCTTATTCGAAGGGCCATTTCTTCTTTTATTTTTCTCTATCCTCCTTTTTTTAGACTCAATCAAAATTTCACAACCTTGCAACTGTAGATAAATAATTCTTCCAAGACCTAGATAGCATTATGACCCAACCCTCCCTTACGTTCGAATTCGATCAAAGTCTACATACAGCCCCTTTTAAGCATAATATATCCTCCACCACGCTTCTTTCGACGACCCTTGCAGCCATGATTTCCCTAACAATCCTCAGCGGCGACTTATGTCCCCAGCAAGTTGTCAGTCGCTCCTCGAGAATTTCCTTCCTTTTTGCAGGGCCCCTATCTGGTCCGTCATCATCTTCAACTCTTTTGCGGCTCTCATTACAGCCACAGTGAGCAGGGACAGCATTTACAACGGCCCCGGCATCCAAAAGTATCGACACAGCCTCTTTGTGCATCAACATGGCGGCGCTTTGCAAGGGCGTCTCCGTTACGGACATGTGACTGCCTATAGTAGTAGAGGGATTCACATTCGCCCCGAGCTCAATCAACATGTCGAGGTGATCCAGCCGAAAGTCAGCCACTATCACATCCGGAGACGCCTTGAGTGCCACCGACAAGAGGGACAATCTCCGACCGGAGGGCGTAGTAGTTACATATGAAGAAAGGTCTCGTAAACAGTCAAGAAGTAAAAGACGGGTACATTCCGTTGCGTCAAATCGTAGGGCTACCTCCAATGGGGTGCCGCTGGGGAGATAGTCTTCTGGATGAAGAGAGACGTCAAATTCCTGGAGATCGGATTCAGACTTTTCATTCGACTTCGAGATCCCGCGGTATATTTCTTTCCACCAGGTGGCGTCTGATTCGTCCAGAACGAGGTAGCTAGAACTCGTGCCGATGGCCTGTTCTTTGGCCGCCAGAATCATAGATACGACAGACGGCTGGTTAAAAAAAAACACGCCAGAGTGAGGGCTAGGTCATGCGGGTATGCATTTGAGAGCGAATAACCTGATCATACCGGGTGGATCCAGTCGCTGCCTCCTATGGCTGGACAGCGCCAGGCTATCCATTTGGAGTGTCTCGGTGTCGGATTGAACAGCTGTAGCAATAGAGAATTGAGTTTGGCTCGAAGAGCTGAGTCTTTTATGCGAGAGGCTGCAGAGCCCACCCAGGCTGAGCTGGCTAGTTCGAGAAAGGGGAAGGAGGTATGCACTAATGCTCTGTATTCCTTTTGTTCCGAAGAACTGGCGGAGAGATAGCACTCAGCCGACGGAATTCCTTCGTATGAGATGTTGACGAGGTAGACTAGCGATGCCATCGATGTCTGGTATTGTGCTAGTTCGTCGGATGAGTGGAAGTACACAGCGGGCGAATGCATTATTCGGTCCGAGTAGAGGTATTCTAGAACTGTGTAATGGGCGAGTAACAATTGTGATCTTTGGGGGTCGGTCTCATCCACCCGGACTAGACACGTGCACATTTCGGCGATGAACTCCTTTGGCATGAGTATGCGGTCGGTCGGACTAAAACTCACGGTGTCGATATCGACCACGATTGCCTCTGCTATGACCTCTGGCCCTTCGAGCTCGAAGTGTCCACCCGCTAGGAGGAGTAAGGCCTTCTTTGCTCGGTGTTTATGCTCTTCGGGTATGCTGAGCAAGATACGTTTGTAGGTCGCATCGAGACCCCGAGGAAGATCACTCAAGGCCTGGCGAATGTCGGGGATGGTGTGAAGCCGGGATAGGACGTCTATCTGGCAAGAAGCCCATCGAAACCTGTAAATTGTAATCCCAGACGTCAGATTCCAAAGCTGCCAAGAAACGTGTATGAGAATTTGGTGGTACTTGCATGCCACATGCCCCCTTCACCAGCCCTCGCTCGATCTCTTGCTTTAGCCATGTCGGGTAGAGGGAAAGTCGGACATTATCGGCCAACTCGCTTCTTATGTACATGGCAATGTCCTCGTCGACATGCCTGTTGGACAACGACACCATCTGTGCACACAAACTGCCCATATCCTCACTGATGTCATTCTCTTCTCGGCTCATGGCGAGGATTTTTAGGTTTGGAAAGCCATCTCGTAGAGACTTCATGACCCGAAGAATGTTGGACCTGTTTTGCGACTCATCCAGCCCATCAACAACAATGTAGACAGTCTTGAAGCGTTGAGAAAGCTCGCGCATGACTTCCAAGACCGTCCCCGAGTCTGGCTGATGCCCATAGTCATAGAGGTCTTTCAACTCATGTGGTATGTACTTGACCAGCCTCGCAAGCTGACTTATGATCCATCTCATCAGGGGTAAGGATTCGTCTTGATTTCTGCCAAAGTAGCAGTAGTAATATGTGCAGACTGAGGGCAGGTCGCCATCTTTTTTCATGGTCTTGCAGTGGGTTCTGATATCTTCGACAATGTGAGAGAAGAGGACGGTCTTTCCTGCACCTGGGTTTCCGTAGAACCATATAAGTGAGCATGTCCCTTGTTCGTTCTTCCACCTTCGATACTCTGGTGATTTGTCAAGCCAGAGGCCCGTATGTTTATCGCGCATGGCGTGCGTGGTGTTGTGGTAAGACGAGGTGTCGGTTGCCACAAGCCAGTCTAGTATCTTTCCACGACTTGTTTCTTGGATATTGAGTAGTACATGACAGCAACCATGTATCAGATGAGAAGGTCTTGAATGTGCATGTTGTTCATATCGAAAAGAGTGGTGTAAACCATGCGGACAAAGAATCACCATGGAAATACACGCCCAATGTGGGTTCCTACACTTGCAGACATTACCTGGATCATCATCTTCTTGCGCCCAATCATCAGGTAACAACTTGTCAATCTCGGTCAAACAATCCCGGCATCCCTTGATAGGCCCGTCGTTCCTGCCAAGGCCCAAGAATAGTTGCTCGAGTCCGGGGTTCGAATTGGCCCCACCGTTGGTTTTGTACAGGACCTCGAGATTCCCAATGACCGACTTCAGAGTGCTCGTTTCTATCAACAGAACACGGATATCGCTCGGGCAGTATTTGACGGCGGAAATGTACCGGGTACAGCACCTGATGACTTGGTCTGTTAAGCCAACCACTGCGATTAGGCTCGCGGCGAACTCCATCACTCACTCACGGAGCCACGTGAATTGAGAATGCGGAGAGAGAAATAGCTCGTTCGGGTAGAGGGTAACGTTTAGAAAATCAGAGATTGAGAAACAGCATCAAGGCCAGACACACGGTCAAGACTTGGATGGACGTTGATTTTCACCGACATGTTCAGCTCGGCCAGCCCCTCACTTCTTCACCGCCGCCAAGCAGCAGCACAGCCACCACAATCGCGTCCGAATTACGCCTGACCAGACCAGTAATTTTCAATGTGTGTGTCCTGAATCTCGCATCCCAATCCAGCCAATAACTTGCCCCGAGACCCTGCAAGCCAAGTGTCAAGCCAGGCAATGCTTCAATGCTTCGAGATCGCGATCGCCAAGCGACGCCATTAGAAACACTAGTCCCTTAACTGGCCATGACCGTCAAGTCTTGGGAAGCTTGTTAGTGTGATATCTTGGCAGCTTGGCCTCGTGGTTGACGTTTCTAGTGTGCTGGGACATCTTGGGACGTCTTGGGTTTCTTGGATGGTAAAAAGGTTAAAACGACTACACCTGACATGGTTTACTCACTGTTCATTAGAGTAAAGGAGGAAATTTGAATGTAAAATGTGGCAGCGTCCTTTCTGGGCTTTATACAATATTTACTTGAGAACAGGCAAATGTCCCAAGGCCAGTTCTTGGTACTGCAAAACAGCATACGTTACACGTATACACATTCCAAGGCTTGTGGACCAATGCTTAGTCTTTCATAGCAGAGGTGTCAGGGAGGGCAACATCAGAGTCGCCTTATAGTCAGCAGACGTCATTTATCTGGTACTGATTACTATATGTGATAATCAAAGTGTGGCTGGATGAGGTTAGGTTATCATTCACTAATACTGACACCACGTTGAAGTGGCAGTCAAGTCATTTGATATCACCTTTTCGGTTATCCCCTTGACTGCCTTGGTGCTCCTTGATACTGCGATGACTGTCGTTGGAATTAACCATATGACTTGTTGATGAGAGAGTTGAAGTCCTGGTCACGATTCCTGTCTGCTGGTTACTTGTTGTAAGTAAGTCAACCATTCCGATTCATACTGCGATGCACCAATCGTAAGTAACAAGAGGTCCTTTTACTTTTTATTACGCTATGTACGAGAGAATCTAAGAAGCGAATAAAGAACGCTGACAACAATGCAAACCTAGCCGGTTGTCCTATGATCAACATATCGCCCTTGTTTGCTGACTTTATTTTCTCAAGCAATGATTAGCGACGAATACCGGGGAAAAACCAAAGACTTTCATCATCGTCTCAGAGCCAAACGGAGAAACCCAGCTACGGCCGGATTTCGGAAACCGGACGCCGATTGCCGGGCCCGGCTAGGCAGGTGGTGCGTTCACACTTCACAGGAGGCAAAAAAGACCAAGTCCACAATTGGGCCGTTGTGTCATTGTATAGGCACTTTCTCAGAGAGAAAATCTAGTCTGTTTTCGGACCATCATGGGAATCGGAAGGGGAATGGTGCTTTCTCGGTACCGGCGCATTGGAGGGTTTTCTTGAACAAGTGTGGAGCGGGAAGGGAAGGAAAGCGAACGATGAACGGGAGCCTGAGCGCCGGAGCGGCAAGTCTGGAGGTTATGTTGGGGTCATTCGGAGGTATGGGGATGATCATTTGGAGAAGTTAGCATCGGGGTGGGGAGAGAGGAAGGAAGGGACGGACGGGGAGAGGTTCTATAATAACAGCTTGACGCGGGTAGCAGGCAGGATGGTTGTTGCACCGAGGTATGATGTCGGTGGCTATTTCGAATGACGAAGAGCTCGATCAAAAGATGGAGAGTTCAAGACTCATTTCTCACCTATTTGTTCTTGTTTACCTACTCGGTCGCTTGGTTGGGGGGAAGGAGGCGGCATTGAGGGTCC